ACCGAATTGCTGCACACCGTCATTCTTTTCGATAGCGTCGTCAGCTTTCTTGTACTTCCATGACTGTTCTGGCTCCCCTCATGCACCCCCATTCCCGTCCTCTTTTTCTTTCGCTCCACGCCGTCCGGAAGCTCCACCGCATGGCTCCGCCTCGCATTGTGCACAGACTCGTAGCATCCCTCCAGTTTCTCCGGTGCGCTCGTCGTCGTTGGGTCCCTCGCCTCCTCGGCAGCCGCATCCAAGAAATGTTTGGTGGAGTTATGAACAGCTGCTTTTACCTCCGCAGCAGCTAATGACCACCCCGGTAGATTGTTGACACCCTTATCGCAAAGCTTGCGTTCAACTTCTTCCATATCCATTTCCTCCCTCACAGCCCTCTCCATCCTCGCATAAGCACCGGTTATCTTTATTTCGTTCAGTGCTCCCTTATCACGGATATACTTCGTGGGGTCCTTGAAAACTCCTCCGGCAAGACATCCCGATTGGTGTCCACAATGACCCTGCCGTCCAGTTCCCTCGTAAGAAATTCGTTCAGCTTCATTTCATTGACGCGAACTCTTCCTTTAAACAGTACGTCCTCAATATTAGTGGAAATGGTAAATTTCATTTCTTGCGTTCGTCTTAGCCTTCCCTCTGCCTCCCGCCTCGCTTCTGTCAGTACCTGCGTGAGTGCTCCGTTTGGTTTTCCCCTTGCAAGAGGAGTGATCGTATCCCTTTCTTTCATAGTCCCTACGTTGCCCGAGAGAAAGCACACCTTCGTGAAGAGGCCTAGTAATGGCCTCCAGCGCTTGGTACGCAGTTAAGTTAAGAATTTCTTCAGGAAGCCGCCGGTCTTTTACGCAATCATCCGGCTCCTGAACAAACACCTCCATCGTCACATTGTGGTCTTTCATCAACGGCCGCCCTGCCGCCAACATAATTCCAAAGGAAATCACTCAGCCTCACGTTGGTGCTGCTCATGGTCCACTACGGCCACACTTCACTCCCCACCGCATGTCGAGCTGCAGCGTCGGAACCATCACAAGAGCCACGGCGAAGTGCCATCACAACACCCGTGCGGTGAAGCATCCCACTCGCACCGCCCAACTGCGGCCAGCAGGTGCCGCTGGCTCCAAAGGATACTCGCGCCTGTTTCGTCCCGCAGCCCAATGGCGTTGGGCGTGGCACTCGCATGGCGGGACTGTCGGTGCGCCATGCAGCCACACTGCAACGCCTGTCGGTGAAGCAGTCGAGGCCCACCGCCCCCGCAGCAACACGAGGCGTGCAACCAACCCCAACACCGCCACATTATCGCCCTTTTTTACTTTGTTTTATTCACGTTGTCCGTCTGTTTGCCTCATCACCGACACCAAAAATAAGTGCACACCTTCACAAAAGGGAAGGAACAAAGAGAAAAGGAGGCACGATCCCACCGTCCCGCCGCGGGCCAACACTCTCCTCCACCCACCACCATTGCCGCGCAGGAGACCGCAGTCACATCGCAGAGTCAGCACCACAATGTGCACCGCACCACCGTGCAGTGAGCAATGGGCGGGACACGGCCATGCATCGCCCCGCTCCATTTTCCCACCACTCAAGTGTTGCGTGCCCGCACAAAGCAGCAAAAAGAATCAGAGTGCACACAAACCCAATCAACACCCTCATTCGATGAAGCACATTATTCGCATGGAGTGACAACATTTGGGGGCACACCAGCAGTAGCAGGCTGCATGGAATTCCCCTGCCAACCCCGCAAAAAGACAAAACAACTCTGCGGAGTCAAAGTGGCAGCCCCTCGGTGCCGCCTGCAGTTCACATGGCAGGAAGAATTCCACACACGCATATTTCCGGATCCCTCGCTGTTTGAGTGCTCAACAGAACATGTGAAAAACACCTGCGCGCAAGATGGAATTAAATACGTGAAAAAGTCGGTCTGCTTTCTCCGATGGCATTGGCGAGCAGTCCCACACAATCCAATCAAAGTGACACGCCGGACAGAATGGCGTCCGTCAATCAATAAAAAAATGCGACACTGAAAAGGAGCAGAGAAGAGGTGGCGCATGCGACTGCCAGTGACAACTGTGAGCAAACCCGCCAGCACCAACTGAGGTGCCGAGGAGCACGTTTGTGTAGAACTGGCCATCAGGCAGAGAGGATAAATAAAACAAAAAGGCAGCAAACCCTCTCGTTCACTGTCTCCTGACCGCGACACTAGAATCAAAATACCATGGACGATAAGAGCGGCAACGCCTTCTCCAAAACATCTTGTCAAGAGGCCGCAGGACCTCAGGAAGGGAAGAAGGCAGCGGCGGCAGCCACAGCGGGGGAGGCAATAAAACGGCTGGCAGGCAACTTCACGTCGACGCGCACACCACATCCGAGTGGGCTGGGAGCACTGATCAAACCGCTCGGAAACACACGCATCAAATACGCAAAACAAAGTCGCGTTGAATCGACAGGAACTCCCCGTCCAAAACAAATTTAAAAAGTAGCGTTTTTCAAGGGGGAATCCGCTTTTCCGACGACGGCAAGAACGCCTCGCAGGAATTTCTTGCAATCTCCCTTCGCAGGTCCGCAAGAAAACGCAGCGGAATAAAAAGAGAGCGCAACGACGCAAAAAAAAAAATAATCCTCCCAACCGACCAGGTGGCAGGCTGCCCTCGCGCAAGTGGACAAAACACAACTTCACCCCGGTCTTGTGGTGGTGGTCGTCTCGCAACTATTTTTTTTCTTTTCTTCGCAGTGCACATCCCTCTCCCACAAATCATTTGTTCGGGCCATGTTCCTGCGGCCAAACATCGCGCTGCTGGATCCCGCGGCACAGTCCTCGGCGCAGAACTGAGGGGAGGAAGGGGGACCGCAGGAGGTGCGAGCAAATCCGAATTCGGTGGCGGTCGCTGCAGTGAAGATTGACGTCCCACGCGGTGTCCCTTTTCTAGGTCCGACCCTCACCGTGCCATGCTCTCAGCGTGCGGTGCGCCAGCCGCGCCGAACATCCACACGTGCTTGCGTCTCACCGTCGCTCCAAGCCCCGTTCGTTGGCTGCATCAGGGATGCCGCCATCCGGAGACGGGCATAAGGACGTTGCATCCAACAAAACCTTCAGAGGCACCCGGTGGGCCAACGACGACCGTCACTGCGGCGTGTGTGGCCCTTCCGCCGCTCACCTCAAATTGCACTTCTACGCCTCCTCGAGCAGCAGCAGCAGCAGCATAAATACACCGGTCCACCAGAGGCCGTCGCCAGCCATTGCAGGAAGACCACTGTGCCTCAGTGCTATGAAACCCGAATTGCATTGACGGGCCAATTCGGAAAATCCTGTCGCATCCTCCCCAATTATGCGGAAACACATCCGTCGTGCATGTGTCCACCGCAGCCAAATGAATCTGGTCCAAATACCCTCCAAATCAAATTCCCCTTTCCTCAAGTCATTCCTTCATTCCATACGCCCTGACCCTCATCCGCACGTACTCACTCACGTAAACCGCCATAGAAAGATGGTGGCCGCCCAACGCTCCGGAAAAACATGCCCAGCACGCACGCGCATAACAAATGACATGCGCAAACGCACGGCACGACGGCGGAGAAGCGCACACCGAAAGGATGCGGCCCTCCACAGCCGTCACAGACCACCGCGCGCATCACATCCGCAGGAAGAGTGACTCGCGGTGCGCGCTCCCTCTCTCCTCCTTCCCTTCATGCCCACTAAAGGAAGCAGCCGCCACCCGCAACCGCCAGCACACGCTACAAAAAAAGCATCCAAATCCACTGCAATGTGCATTTTGTGCGTGCATGTGGTTGTGTGTGCCTGCAGAAACACGAGGCAAAGAAGTAAAAACAGGAGCAGAGCATGTGAAGGGACGCACAAACAAAAACGTACAGCAGAGGTGCATGGCAGAAGTAAAGGGAAAAAGACCGCTCAAACTCATGACTGCACTGCAGCCCAAGCAGTGGCAATTCATACAAGAATTATTAAAACAAATAAAAAAATTCATCTTCACCTTTCCGCACCTCACACTTTGAAAAAAAAAATTGATAAAAAATGAAAAAAAAAGAAAAGAAAAAAAGAAAAAGAAAAAAAAAGGCCGTCCTCTATTACTGTTCCACACAATTTAAAAAAAAAAACCACAAACAAAAAAAACCTAAATACCATGTTGCTCCAGGAACCGTCTGCATATATTGTCCGAAAATAAAATTAAATAGTTGCGTGTCTTTCAACCGTCTGACCCTCCATGTGTCCGCACATCGTTTATATTTCATGGGGCCATCTGCGTGTTGCTGCTCCCCTCAGCCCTTTCATCGGCGTGTGAGTGCGGCCTGCAGAGCACAGTCACTCGTGTGTGTGGGGACTGAGAGAAGCACGCAGACATGACGGGAGTCGCGCCTCTCCATCGGGAGAGTGAGCGCAGCAAAAAAAATAAAAATCATTAGAAGGGGAGAGAAATGCTCGCGAGGCCGACACCGAAGGGTGTGCCAGCGCAAAAAAAAAAAAAAAAAACGCAAAGCAAAAGAAAAATCCTAAAAAAGCGGCAGGGTGTGGCTGTGTGTGTGTGGCGCTGCGGGTGTCTGCCCGCCCTGGCCGCAATAAAAACAAAACAAGAGGGAAAGAAATGTGTGCTCCGCCCCACAGGCCCTCGTCGCACGCCCACACGTCACGGCTCCCTCAGCGCGCCGTTCGTCGCGGCCCCTCCTCATGCGTGCAGCAGGCGAGGCGCACAGGGCCGTCGTCATGAGCGTGTCGGTGGGTGTGCGAGTGGAGCAGTTGGGCGGGAAACACACGGCACCCCTCACAGGAAGAGTGCAGAAAAAACAATTAAAAAGGAAATAGTAAAAAAGAAAAAACGTCCATATTGATTGTCCTAAAGCAACAAGCAAGATAAGGGAAATAATTAAAGCAAAAACAAGAAAAAGGAAAAGAAGGAAAAAAAAAAGGTGGAATTAACAAAACTCATTGAGTAATGCTGGGATGTCGCTCAGTTGTTGCTCCACAGAATTTCTCAACTTTGCTCTTTCCAATTCATTCAACAGAGAGCCGCAGTGCCCCACAGTCCCAGAAGCAGCAGCAACAGCACCCGAGACAAACACCCATGCACGGTGATGTCACCAATTAGAGAAATGGCCGCCAACTCGCCCAAATGCCCGTGCTCAAGCAAAATGTCAGTGTCCGAGGGTGTTGTTGCGTTGGACTCCGATGGGATCTTGCTTTCCCCAGGCGTGGTGTTTGTATTCTCCGGTGCGGTGTCGACCGTCCGTGGCACCTCCTTGCCGTCTTCAGAAGAAACTTCGGCTCCGTCAGTCCGAGAGATGTTGTCGGTGTCCTCCGCGGAGGTCGGTTCGGCGTCACTCTTTGAAGGAGTGGGGCTGCTGTCTGAGCCCATTGTTCTCTCGGAATTTCTGTCCCCCGTCTCGAGGCTGAAACTTTCCTCCGCGCCGGTAGTTACGGTTCCAGTGGATCGCACGTCGTCATTTTCAGCGGAAGGCTCAGTGATTTGTTGCACTTGGTGCTCACCGTACACTGGTGCAGCAACCGTGTCCATATCCGATGATGCAGCCCCTGAAGACACTGATCCGCCACTCCTGCCATTCGTTCCTCCCTCCTCCACTGGCTGTTCTGTACCATAACTTTCAGAGGATCCTTCAAAATCAGTGGCCTCCGTTGACTCCTCTGACTGTAATTCTTGTGTCTGCATCTCCGAATCCCGCTGCATCGATTCATTGTCTTCATTCAGCGTGGTTTGCTGAGACGTCTCGCCTTCGGAAAGCTGGGCATTGTCCTCTGAACGAGAATTCCCTGCAATCTCCGTTGCGATGGCGGGTTCAGGAACAGAGGATCCCCCGGCAACCGTGGAAGAGGACACTGCAGGCACCAGATTAAGGACGTTTTCTTCCTCTTGTTCATCAGTATCACCCTCATTCAATTCCTCATGGCTGGTGGCGCTTTCTTCACTGTTTGACTCGGAAGCAACCAAAGCGCCCGTGTTGGCCGCCTGTTCTGTGGGTTGTTTCTCAACACCCAGTGATGGAATAGTGACTTTGCTGGCATGGAGTTCATACAGATTATCATCGAACAGTTCGTTGTACAGCATGACGTTGGTCACCGTCACGTGGCCGCCCGTTGCACTTTGGTCCTTACTGTCCCCACCGATGTAGAAGTGTGAGATCCTGTGCGAGTTAAACAGACTCGTATTATATTTCGTCTTGTGGATTTCCTCTCGATTTACAACGACCGTCCAATAATAATAATCCATTTGCAGTACCACCTGATATGTCTCGTTTGGCTCCCACTCAACAACATCCTCCACATTACCAGGATCCTCCGCATCATCAAGATCCTCCACATTACCAGAATTCTCAGATATGGCCAGCCACTTCCTGTCATGGGTGTACGACAGACCAAAGAGCACCGTGCCTTTGGTGTCATTCATCCTCACACCCATCAAAGGAATGGGGCTGCTGCTTTCTATCGGCACCTCGTGGATGGACACCGTCGCCACAAGAGTAAACTCGTTGTTCGCAAAGTAGTACGGCACAGTCTGCCCCATGTCGCCAACAGGCCACACCGCCCACGCTCCGGGTCCTTTGAACGTCAATCCATTGGGAACTTCTCTCCTTTTTTCCGCTGGGCCATGGACTGTTGCATTCACGCCGAGGTACTCGTCTCGCCACTCGGTCCCAGTTGAGTTACCAGACAAAAAGCCAACAAGCCCATCAGTGGGAACACGACCATTGCACATACCCTTTGTTGGCAAGTCGACAGTGACGCTGGAACCGGAATGGCATGAATGCAAGGCGCTGTCCAAATCCTTCCATGTCTTCACCACTTCCTTTATCCGCTCCAGTTTCTCGGTCAGATGCACAGCAACGAGACTGTATGCTCCGTCGCCCTTCTTGTTCTCGTACAGTGAAATCAACTCCTCCTTATTATCCTTCCCACCTTTCATCAACAGCGAACTGGCGGCTGCGTCATCACTTTCACGGGATACCGGCCCAACATCATACACACGTGACGTGTCCGTCACCCAAAGATGAAGCCGACCCTTTCCACCTTTATTGTCCTTCGGATACACCGGCGCGGTGATGAGCATCACCTCCTTTTCCTCAATGATTGCGGTGGTGGATCCGCTCTGGACGCCGTACCCCTTTCGATTGTGTGAGTTGCCCCACACGCGGTTAATTGGCTCACCCGATGGATACCAGTTGGCTCCTTCCGGAGTGGACTTGTAAACGTCATAGTGGCCTCCAGCACAATGAGCCATCATGAAGAGTCTTTCGTCGCCTTCGTATTTTTCCCACTTCACCAGGGTTGGATCCATGCAGCCGTTACCAGGCGTCTCGGATGAAAGCTCCCATTTTTTGTCTGACGGGTCAAAACGCATAGACAGTAAAACTCTCGTTCCATCCCTGCCTTTGGCCTGCATGGGAAACACAAGCGTGCCGTCACGCAAAACAGCACCCGATCCTCCACCACCCAAAAACTCGGTCAAGGAACGAGATTCTCCTTTTCGTTGAGGGTTCACCACATGGGTCTCATTCCACACAAGTTTCTTCTTGTTTCCACCATCCACCGTGACAGTTCCCTTCACGAGCAAAAGGCCCCGCTCATTCTTACCTACAACCTGCGACTTTGTAAGGCTGTGGTTTCCCAGGAGCATGTAAACACTGTCCCCAAGCACAAGCGTCGTTGGCCGCAACACTTCTGTTGCCCCAAAATTATTCTCGATGGTGTCCCCAAGTTGCATGCGAAACAAACTTATATCCGACGTCGAAATATCCATTGAGTCATCACTTATATCCAGGTGCTTTGAGACAATCCCAGCACAGCTGCCGGCTTCATTCCTTTCCCCGCACTGCGCTTCAGCCACGGCAAATACATCATCACCCACTTTAACAAGGCCAGGAACACGGTGCGAGGTGATTTTGCCGCCAGCCTCGTTAAACTCCTTCCAATTAGCAAATGATATCGGCGTCGTCCCTGTGAAAGGATCAACAGCGGCCCCTGCCTGCTCAGCGTGCGCAGCACCACTGCCACAGCACATCAACACGACGAGAAGCAGCAGCACCGCGGAAGTAAACAAATGCCGGGACATGTTGGGCCTCTGCGGCTCACTCTCTCTTCCTTCCCTCCTCCTTCCGCTGGATCCGGTCACGCGGCGACGGTTGTGTGTGCGGGGTGCCTTCACTGCAGCAACACGTGAGAGCATATAAATATGTGTGTGGGCGGTGTGTGTGTGCTGTTGGTCCTTTCAGTGCCCTCGAATTTCACAGTAGCGATTAGCGCTTGTTTTCCTTCTTTCCTAGCGTGTCTGTGTTCAATAAGTGGAGAGTACAGCAGCAACAGCGGCAATACATCAGACACGTCAGCGGAGGTTGGAGCAGAGCACCCACGCAGAGAGCGGGACACAAGACAATCCGTAAGGGACAGCACGGAGAACCATCGCACACAGAAAAGCGCAGCAACACGGCAAGTCACGGCGGGCCGTCGGTGTGTGCGGGCCAGCCCTCACGCGGTGCGACACGCCACACCCAACAGGGAATGACAGGCAGACACACAGTGAGAGAGATGGATGGATGTCGTCAAGACGCACTCACGATCAACATGGCCCGTGAGCATGCGGCCACTCCCCACGCAGTAACAAAGGAGGAGAAGATGACAGGGGAAAAGCAAGAAGCAGCACAAACACACGGAGGGAACAAACACCAGTCTCGGGAAAAGCACCGCCAAGGCCCTCATACTGGCCGGCGACTCCACACCAGCCCTCACACACACACACACACACCGCCAGCAGCCACACACCAATGGACAAGGAGAAGAAGTGACCCACCGCCACCATCGCCTCCAGTTCAGTCCCACGAACAACGGGATACGGCCACAGCCCGCAGCCAACAGACAACGCACGCCGAGCAAGCAATCGCCCAAAGAGCCACACGCGGAAGCGGGCCCTCATCCAGCCATGACGCGGCGTCTCACTCCATGCGGTCACACGGAGCACGCCGTTCCCTCAATAGAACCCATTCTTCGTCCATCCCTTAAAGATGCTTCTGTTAGTGATGGGCCTTAGAGCACAATAGAAGAAAATGGACAATGCAGTAGCACTGCGACACCGCCAAACACAATGATTCCCTCATACCGAGGCAATTCTCCAATTATGCCTCTTGTGCACACACAATCAACATACTATATGAAAATCACCCAATGTTTTTCACCAGAAACCAAACAACCCCACTACCTCCCTAATTTTCTTCTGTCACTGTTATGTTCGATAGCGTTGGACAGTTCTGACATCTGTGCGATATACTGCCGTCTGCTGCTGGTGCACCTGCACCGTATGCACACAAAAAATTATCCAAGAATATATAACTCCCACAACATTTCTTTACCAAAAATCAAAACTACCCCTTTCATTCCCTAATTTATTTTTACCATTTCGGTGGTTATTCCCCACCTCAGAGAGCTTCGCCCATTCTAAATCCTCCGGATTATATTGCTGCTATGTACTGGCGCACCTCTTCCCTCCAGAACGCCGCAATCTCTCGGTTTTCAGCGCGGCTCACATTATTGGAATTGACAACATCACATCTCTTCCATTCAGTCATCGGCGTGCTGTCTGCGTGCTGCACATAAATAATCTCCCACGACATGTCTCGGTATAACTCCTCCCAGCCATTAAAATATGCCGCCAGGCACTCAGTGAACTGCCTCACGGTGCTGGTTGTGGTGTGGTGCCCACCCGCCGTAGCCATCCGCAGCCCGACCAGCGTCATTGGATTTGAGTCCACAAAGAAAAAAGCGTCCACCAGCGGAAAGCTTTGGACTTTCGGTTCATACAGCACCCAGTGGTCCATAGCAACCGGATTGGAAAGACGTTCCGGTGGCGGTAGAAACTCTTTTCTGGTGAAGCTCGTGTCTGAGTGCTCTTTCAGCACACAGCTGTGTGGCTCACGTCGTCCTGGTGGCCTCAGTTCCTTAATTTCAAGTCTTATCGCACGCAGGAATTCCTCATTCAAAAATGCGGATACGGCATACTTTTCAATAATATATGGTGGGACATAATCCCAGAACCTCAAAACGAAAAAAATAAAATCGGACTGCTTCATTTCATTCTCCAACCTGGACAAAGTTTCACGTTCAAGGTGGGGAGATACCAGCAAATTCAGAGGCGATTCAATGTTGTTTCCTCGTCGTACTCGGACAACCTTCACAAGCTTTCGAGACAAGTCATTGTCATTGGACGAGTAACAACAGCCAATACCCAAATTACGCTCTAATTCCGAAGCGGTCGACCCATCCACGGCTTGCTGACACGCTTTAATGCGGTCGTCATATGCCTGTTTATCAAAGATGGAGCGGAGAATTGGTCCCACGTTATTCATGCGACCCCTCACCTCCTTCCAGTATTCCGCCTGCTCCTGCAGGGGTCGATTGCGCTTCATCCAAATGCACATTGCCCTCACATCGTTTTCTTCGGGACAATTCGTTACGATTGCAGTAGCGTCCATTTTTTTTGCCCACCATTCATATTCGCTTTTTTCTGGTGGTGTCACCACAATCATGCCCCATCCCTTGCAAGGCAAACAAGCAGGCGTTTGACGAAATGCCAATGCCGCATCGTAGATAATATACCCTGTCACCCCACGCAAAGAAAAAATGTCTACAACATCCTCAATCCTGGGGTCACCCATGTACACTGACACCGTTTTGATGGTCTTGTCAAACAGAAATGATTGACTCCCAATAACGTACGCAACCATTGGGAGCTGCTCCGCATCGTAGTGCAGCAGCTGGTAGAGGAGGTACGAGCCGGCATTCATCGACTTCCCGATCCCGGGCGTCCCAATCAACACACGTCGCCTAGGCTTAAAGTCAGTCCCACCGTCAGTGCTGAACCACGCGGTTAGATCGCCCTTGACGATCTGCCACACTCGCTCCACCTCAAAGTTCACATGGCAGTCACGAGTGGATTCCGCCCCCTTCAGATTCCACGAGTACGGCCATCCCTTGTCCGAGGCGAGCACCATCAGCCTAAGAAGTGCTGCACCGGATTGCTCCACACCGTCATCCCTTTCGAGAGTGTCGCCAACTGCCTTGTACGTCCATGGCTGCGGTGGTTCCCCCTCCCTCACCTCCATTCCCGTCCCCTCCCCGCCAGGAACTTCCACGACATGATGCCACCCCGCATTGTACACGGACTCGTAGTTTCCCTCCAGTTTCATCGGCGCACTCATCGTCATTGAGCTCATCAATTCAATGAAGGCTGCATCCAAAAACTGTTTAGTGACTTCATGAACACTTCTTTTTACCTCCTCAGCAGCTAATGACCACTTCAGTAGATTGTCCACACCTTTTTTGTGAAGCTTGTTTACATCCTCTTCCATATCCATTTCCTCCCTCACAGCCCTCTCCATCCTCTTGTAACGATCGGATGTCTTTATATCGTGCAGTAAAAACTCACCGAGCATATACCTCGTACAATCCTTTACAAACTCCTTCAGCAAGACATTCCGATTGCCGGGCATTACGCCAATGCCGTCCAACTCCATCACAAGAAAATCATTCAGCCTTATGTCCATGACGCGAACTCTTCCTCTAAATAGCACACTTCTGATCGCAGTATTTAGGGTAAATCCTACTTGTTTTTCCCGCGCTGCCCTTTCTTTCGCCTCACGCCTTTCTTCCGCCTTACGTCTTTTTCTTGTCAGCACCTGAGAAAGAGCTGCGTTTAGTTTTCCCCTTGCAAGAGGAATGACTGTATCCCTTCTTTCATATCTGTTCCACTGCCAGAGAAAGTTCACCCACACGCAATGAAGTTCATAAATGGCATCCAGCTCTTGGTACGCAGTTAAGTTAAGAATCACTTCAAGAAGCCGCTGGTCTTGTACGTAATCATCCGGATCCTGAACAAACGCATCCATCGTGACGTTCCCATTTCTTTCCACAATCGACTCCTCGCCCAAGTAGCTCCGAAGGAATTCATTCAGCTTCATGTTGTTCCTGTTAGTGCTTCCCTCCAGCACGATGTCCTTTACGGTGCTTCTCATGGACCACCGTGGTCGATGCATTTCCTCCGCTCTTATGCGTGTCGCATCGGGTTGATCTCTCTCACCCTCAGACTCCGGCCTCGCTCTCCTCTGACCATCTCCCTGCGGCACAGCAGACGCTTGATTTCCAGGCATTGTTTCTCCTTGCTTTATTGGTTGGATTGAGTTAAGGCTGAATACTGACCAACAAACGAGAGAGGAATAAGAAAGAAAATAGGCACAATCATGGCTCGCGGCCACAGCAAGAGACTCATCCACACAGTGTGACGGCACACCAAATGCACGAGGACCACCACAACGACGGCGAGTGGGTGCCAACCACCCAGCACAGTGTTGGTGAGAGCAAACGATAACAACAACGTGGTGGGCGCGGAGGGTTCGTCCACGCATCCCGCTCGCCACGGTCCCGCACCCCTGTGGCACCGCCGACACCGCACACACTCTGCAAGAATAGATGCGCGCGTGCATATCGGCCTTAACAAACACACACAGAAGCAAGTGGGAAGAGAATTCGGTAAGGCAGCGGACACATGCAGGGAGCACAAATCATACACGCCACAACAGCGATGCATCACGGTAATCCCCCACACAACAGAAAAGAGTACAATTTGCATGCTTTATGGAAAATATTTGCGGTGTGCATGGCAAAAGAGTGCCGTGACGTTGCCTTTCATATTGCATTCGCCACTCACGTATCACTTGGAAGCACGCAGCCACCACTCCTCCGTTCCGCTCCCCGTGCTGCTCGTGCCGCTTCACTGGAGGAAGTTGTCACCGCACATACCCATCACCGTGCATTGCGGAATACAAATCAACCACACGGCATGGGTGCGGTGCCACCCCGCCAATAAATCCCAGGAACCTCCCCACTGCCTCTTGTAGCACGGACGGCAGTATCATGATGCCTGCGAAAGGCTTTTTTTCCAAACAAGAACGCGGCTCCACCACACGCCCGTAAAAACGTTTGGTCCGTCGCACGCAAAGGAGTGAAGCGGGAGAACAGCAGGAAAGACAACACCAGCAGCCATGAGCAGCCCGCACACGCCAACACACCGCTGCCCCGCATGTCACCAAAAATAAAAAGACCAAAGAAACATGTCACATCCCAACTGCGAATCGCAGGTGCGGTTGCAGCAGACACTCCCACCTCCTGGGCGTGTGCGGCCCCTCGCTGCTCGGCGCTCCAAGTGAAATCACCAAAGGCACCAATTCGGAAGCATTCGACCACCGCCACAGCAGTCACGCTCCCCATTTCTCACAAAGGCGAAGACTTGCAGTGGCGCAGCGGACGGCGGCATGCACAGTCGCAGGGTAATGGACTGCCGCGGGAATCACGCAACGGCGATGCGCCCCTCCTTTGGGAAGCCCAACAAAAATACATGTGTTGCGCAGTCCCCGTGAGCAAACACAGGTTGAACCGTATTCAGCTCCACTACTGTGGCCATCCGCACACACAGCATGAGTGCGACAACGCAGGCCAGGAAGCACGGAATAACA